TCCTGAAGTCTAGGAAAACTATATCCACTGCCACCCCTGCATCCAATGATTTAGTGACCTGGTCGTAAAAGGCCACCAGGTTGGTCTGACAGGACCTGCCGCTGATGAACCCGTGCTGGTTGCCCCTGAGCATGCCGTTCCCTGCTGGCCCCTCCTGGATGCGTGCCAGAATAATTTTCTCGAACAGCTTGCCCAGGATCGAGGTAAGGCTGACTGGCCTGTAGTTCCCCAGGTCCTCTTTCCTCCCCTTTTTGAAGATGGATATATAAATAGCAGTGCATCATTAGCCCCATTGCACAGATGGGGAAACAGAGGCACAGGGAGGGGCAGGGACTCTCTCCCGGGCACCCAGCCGGCCAGGCAGCGCTGGGGATTCAAGCTGAGTCTCCCGAGTCCCAGTGCACAGTGCTGCTGGCATTGCCTGCCTTCACAGGGCCCCAAAGTGCTCGAGTGGATGTTTTCCGTGTAGACAAGGCAGACTCCCTAATATGCAAAATGCCAAGGGAAAAGAGCTGGAGAAAAGGAGACAGAAGGAAAAAATGCTGCACAGCCCATTTCACTCATTAGGGTTATTGATGCTTCCTGTCCTGAGAACAGCGTGTTTCTGGTACAAATTAACGGCGCTGTGCTCAGCATCACCTTGCAATAATATCATCTACATGACCAGCAGCCCATGGCTGAAATTAAGCCAAGGCAACGTTCCTCTCTGCACTCCCCTGCGCCGACCATGGATCAAACCCTAAATGACACATTGTCCCTGGAGAAAAAGCCTCAGCAGAGATCACTTGGTGTTTTTCTTCTGCCACATGGCAAGTCACAGATCTTGAGAGTAGGTCGCAGGCAGCTTGAGAAACCCTCTTGGAGCCCAGGCCTGTGAGCTGAATCCCAACCAGTCAATCCTGGAGGAAATGGAAGTTTTTCCCCCGCGCGCTGCCAGCACTGTGCACTTGCGGCGTGATTAACAAGGCCACTTAGCTCCTAATGAAGGGCTCAGTTAGGGCTGGAGACCAGCTACAAGCATCAGGTCAGGAGTAACAGAGGGGGCTGTTGTGGGGAGGGAGCTCGGATAGGGACTAGGTAGGTCAACCCTTAGGGATGCTTTACGAAATAGCGGAGCGTCGCTAGCTCCATTTCAAGGGATGGGACCGGAGGAAGAGCGGCAGCTCCAGGATGATGCCAGGATTCTCCCAGGAGATGCAGAGAAGGAAGCAGGAGCAATCCCACCCAACACATGGAGCATCCCCATGCCCTGCCGCATCACACCCTAGGTCTTGTGTGCCAGCAGGTCGCCTTTCCTCCTTTTGTGACTCCTTTAAGACAACCTACCACTGCTGCCAGCTGGGAGAGTTATTCCTGGAGTTCAGCTAGGATGGGTGGAGGCCAGGAGGCACCGTTTTATAGCAGACGGTGCTGGGTTACAACACCCAAGTGCAGCAGGGCTGGACCCGATGATGTGTAAGGTCATGAAACTATGAAGGGCAAGGCCCCGAACCATTGCTGGCCCATGGGATGGGAGGAAGGCTTATTGACCTTGCCCTGTCTACCCATGCTAGGGCTAACTACGGTTTGACAGGGTCACTAGAGATGGGAAGCCACTTGCTGCCAGTGCCCCTTTGCAACTGGGTCCCCCAGATACCAAGGCTCACATCACAACCCCTCCAGGAAACAGTCCGTGTGCTATGATGCACATCACTAGGCAGAAAGCGTAGAGGCCACACTGCTTCTTTTTAGTAGGAGACTAAACAGACATCCCCCCCACCCCACTCACTCCACCCTGAAGCATCTTAGCATCTGGTGGTAGGACACATCAAGGAACATCTGTTCAGCTGACCTGGCCTCCAGCCCATGCATTTACAACCAACCACAAAACAACGTTTAGCATCATGCTGCCGGAGAACAGCTGTGACCACAGCCCTTCCCAGAGTTACAGTCATCTTCAGCCAGATGCTTGTAGGGGGCAACACCTGCCCAGGCAACGAGCTGTACTGACCACCCATCACTGCTGCTCAGCTTCACCCAAGTCAGGCCACATCTTGCCTGCAAACTGCACAGACCTGGGGACTTTCTAACCACCTGGAGAAATAAATTCCAGAGTCAGGAACATTTCAAAAAGTCATAGAAAACAAGGGCTGGAAGGGACCTCAGCAGGTCACATCTAGTCCAACCCCCTGCTCCAAGCAGGACCAGCCCCAACTACATCATCCCAGCCAAGGCTTTGTCTAGTCAGGTCTTAAACACATCCAAGGATGGAGAGTCCACCACCTCTCTGGGTAACCTGTCCCAGTGCTTCACCACCCTCCTAGTGAGAAAGTTTTTCCAAATATCCAACCTCAACTTTTCTTGCTGCAGCTTGAGCCCATTGCTCCTTGTCCTGCCATCTGCCCCCACTGAAACCAGTCCAGCCCCATCCTCTTTGCAGCCCCCCTGCAGGGAGGTGAAGGTTGCTATCAAATCCCCCCCGGTCTTCTCTTCTGCAGACTAAATAAGAAAGTTGACCAGGAACATTTTGCCATTAAGATCTAGCTGACGAATAGCTCAAATTGTGGAACATTTCACGACTCTTTGGACCCCTGCAGATCCCAGAGTTGAGCACCTTGACGAACTTGGAAATGGTCGGACTGGTCGGGTGCTAGATTTTGTAATCACATGGGAACCCGGCAGCTCTGGAACGAGAGGTATTTGTGAACATTTCATGCTGGGATCCCATCCTTGGAGAATGACAGGAAAATACAAGTCCTGAGAGATCCCCACAGTCTGCGAGGGGTCCTGGCGAGACCCCATCCCTCGCACAGATATCAAAATGGCCAGGTAACTTGTTCTCTCCTCATTTCATAGATTCATAGAAGTTAGGGGCTGGAAGGGAACTCACAAGATCATCAGGTCCAGGCCCCCTGCTCTTAGGCAGGAAAAGTTTCCTGGGACCCAGTCTACTCACGGCCCAGACTTTCCAACGAGGGGAAGAGCTTATTTAAGGATTAGAGGAGCTGGGAATCAGGACTCCTTGGCCTCTCTTCCAGGATCTCGGGGGTACATTTTCAAGAGGCACTAGCCCATCCAGGACATTTTGGGGGCTGAACGCTTCTGAAAATCTGCCCACCAGTGTCTCAATGGATATTGCCAGGCACTGGGAAACTCCAGCTTTCAGTGGTCCAGGAAAGGTGTCCCTCTGTGCCTCCCTTTACCAAACTGGAAATCATTATTGATATCAAAATCCTATGGGCTGCATTCAAGTGGGCAATATATCTGGGTGAAAGGAGCTACATAATTGCAAAGAATTATTGTTTAATCGAAGTATTTCTGGTCCGTCGGTTCCCTGCGGTAACGGACTGGATTTCTGTATGCAGCTTGGTAGAAAACAAAGCAAAAGATAACAATGATTAAACCAGTAGAAAATTGGAGAGAAATAAAGGGAAGGAAAGCAACCAGATGAAGCAGGTTGCACAGCTGCTTCTCTTGGAGCAGAGAAGGGAAAAAGTGGATTTCATTTGAAAGGGAGCATTTTCAGGAGATCTCAACTTTCTTTTGAATCCTCAGAGCTAAAGCTTCTCTCTCCAGCTCAGCTACAGAAATGATGACTGCCTCCTTGTTCAGCTAACGGGTGATAGGAGGTGCTTCATTTTAAACCTGCATCTTGATAAATTGGAGAAATTACCTGAAATTAATTGAATGAAACTTAAAAACAAATGCAAAGTCAGGGAAAACGGTGCTCGTGCCGTCTTCAGCACTGGTGAGGCCTCACCTGGTGTGCTGCGGCTAGTTGCGGGCCCTGTGCTTCAAGAAAGACGTGGACGTAGCAGGAAGAGTCCAGTGGAGAGCAAACAAAAATGACTGGAGGTCCGGGGAACATGACTGAAGAAAAAAGGTCGAAAGAACAGGGATTATTTAGTTTGGAAAAGGAAATATTGGGGGCGGGGGGAGGATTTGGTACCATTCTTCAAATAGGGGTGGTCTTGCCTTGAGCAGGGGCTGGACTAGACGTGACCTCCTGGGGTCCCTTCCAGCCTGACTTTGCTGTGAGTCTATGGCTGAAGTCAATTTAGCTGGAATAGATGCTTAAAATTAGGCACACGCTTAAGTGCTTTCCCCAACTGACCCAGGATCTACCAGAGTTGAAGATCTGCTGCGATATCTGCGTGCAAGACGTTAAGTGCCCGCTAGTCCTACGGCTTGCAGAGCACTCTGCCTTGCCCATGACGGGATGCAGCTCCTAGGACACGTTCAAGGTCCACATGTGTAAATTTAAAGCAGGTGCTTATGCATTTTGCTGAATCAAGGCCTGAATAGGGACACATGGTTTGTATGCATTTGCCTACTGACGTGTCACACCATCTCCATGGGAAAAAAGACCCTTGTATGGATGGGAAGGGGGCTTTTAAAATGGAAAGTTTTCATTCCACTTCTAATAGTCATCTTACAGAAAGGGCCCCTCAGTGTTGGCTCCGGCATGTGTGGACTTGGCAGCAACTCAAGCCCGATTAACTGTCTAACCACTTTTGCTGTTGTTCCCCCAGGTACACCAAGATGAAAACAGCCACCAACATTTACATCTTCAACCTGGCTCTAGCGGACGCGCTGGCCACCAGCACGCTGCCCTTCCAGAGCGCCAAGTACCTGATGGAGACCTGGCCTTTTGGGGAGCTGCTCTGCAAAATCGTCCTCTCCATTGACTACTACAACATGTTCACCAGCATCTTCACCCTTACCATGATGAGCGTGGACCGCTACATCGCTGTCTGCCACCCAGTCAAGGCCCTGGACTTCCGTACCCCCACCAAGGCCAAGATCATCAACGTCTGCATCTGGGTCCTCTCCTCCGTGATTGGGGTGCCCATCATGATCATGGCCGTCACAAAGCGTAAAGGCAAGTGCATCCGTGCATGTCCCGCCAGCTGCCCAGTGTGGTGCCTTGAGCTTACAGCAAGCCGACTCGCCTCTCCCGTAGCAGAGCTAGCATTTAGATGCCATCCTACACCACATCCATGAAGGGTGGGCTTGGCATTAAAGCCATTGGGTGGGACATGGAAGATTTAGGTACAAGTTTTTGCTCTGCCATAGTCTCCCTATGACTCAGAGTCCCACTGTGCCTCGATTCCCTGCCTGGGAATGGGAACACAGCTACGTGCTGCACTTGTCTGCCTCTTTAGCGTGAAGCCTTCAGAAGAGGGACCGCCTCACACTGTGCATCTTAGCGTTCCCTGGTCTCTTTGATGGCGTTTGGGGCTGCCAGACTCTAAAGTGATGCAAATGGCTCGGGGGGTTCAAGTTTGGCTGCCAAACCCAAAGCAGGCATTATACCGAGGATGGCAATTATCCCAGGCAGACTTTCTGTCTCGGTAACACCTGGATACCAAAATCCATGCGTACAACAAAACCATCCCGCTGCTCCTTCATGATCCTTCCTGTGCTTTATCTGTTTCTTTGGCTCCCACTTGCCCTTTTCCCTTACATCTGTCTGGGGCAGTTAATCCGGATTAACTAGTCCTGCAGAGTTTAACTCTGCGCTGCGATTCTCTTATCCTGGAATAATTGGGGCCTTTTCCCAAATTAGTTTAAATCTACCTCTGAACTGGAATAAGATCACTTAGAATCAAGCGCATATTTTCCAAAGTAAGGACAGATGCGGAGGGAGTTGATTCGGAATAAGAGCACGTTTGGAAGGAAGATAGTGTACCCCATTTCCATAAAAATACCTGCTATAACTAGCCGTCTCAGAGACTGAATGAGGCACAGAGATCCTTCAGACGGGCTGGTTTTAACAGCTGGTCCGAAGAGCTTTATCACTGCACAGCTATCCCGTGCAGCCATGAACTAAAAAGGTACTCACGTGCATGCATCATAGTAGCACCTGGAAGCCCAGATCAGAGCTCACGGCCCCACAGCAGTCACACACAAAACACAGTGCCCCTGCCCCCCAAAAAGCATATAATGGCAGCGTGCAATGCAAAGCCTTACAATAGATAGAGTGTGCAAGACTGATTTTACAGGTGGGGAAAAACAGATGGTGTGAGGTGGCATGAGCTCCAAAACCTGCACTGAGACCATGCTGAAGTTTGGAGCGAGCATTTAGGTTTGGGGGTCTTGGATTCTGCACCCAAGACTAGCTTGGGTCCCCAAGGCTAGCTTTGATTCGGCACCCAAGGTTAACTTAACATGTTGCCGGACTTTAAATGAGTCCATGGTAGTACCCGCAATGGGACACAAAAGCCCTCCGTCCTTGCCCCTGGGCAACCTCGCATCTCCAAGGTGCTCGTTAACCTGACTCCAGTCAAACCAAAGGCACTGAGGAAATACAGAGGTGAGTGCTTTAGAAATGCTGGCTGGCACCAAAGCGGCTGGCAAATGCAGCTCTGAAAGCATTGGACTCTCCAGAGCCTGTAGGTATATTGAAACCGGTGAGGGTTTCTAAGCTGCTTTCCTTAGCAGGAGGCAGCGAGAGGCACGGGGCAGGGAGCTGATGGCTGAGGAACAGGCAGGATTCAGGCTGGTACTACTCTTCTCTCCCCTACAGACGGGATGGTCTTGTGCATGCTCCAGTTCCCCGACCCTCCCATGTACTGGGACACGGTGACCAAGATCTGCGTGTTCATCTTTGCCTTCATGGTGCCCATCCTGGTCATCACCATCTGCTACGGGCTCATGATCCTGCGCCTGAAGAGCGTGCGTCTCCTCTCGGGCTCCAAGGAGAAGGATCGCAACCTGCGCCGCATCACCCGCATGGTGCTGGTGGTGGTGGCGGCCTTCATCATCTGCTGGACGCCCATCCACATCTTCGTCATGGTCTGGACTCTGGTGGACATCGACAAGAAGAACCCCTACGTGGTGGCCAGCTTGCACTTCTGCATCGCCCTGGGCTACACCAACAGCAGCCTCAACCCCGTCCTCTACGCCTTCCTGGACGAGAACTTCAAGAGATGCTTCCGGGAGTTCTGCCTGCCTTTCCGCTCCCGGATGGAGCAGAACAGCTTTTCCCGGGCGAGGAACACCACCCGGGAGCGCGTGTCCACCTGCACCCCCTCCGAAGCCCTCCACAAGCCGGCATGACTAGACATGGACAGCCACCGCCGGGGCTCCCGCGGGCGCAGAGGAGAGGACCTGCACTCGGAGGTGACGCAGGTCACCACCACCGAGTTCTAGCGGAGGAGGCGGAAGGGGAGCACTGGTGCTGGAGGAAGGGCGGCCGGTGCAGGACTTGATTTCTTTCCTTCTTTTTTACAAAAAAAAAAAAAAAAAGCAAAAAAAAAAGCAATTGCAACAGCTTGATTTGCTACGAAGCAGCCGGGCTGGATCAGGCATTCACAAAGCCACAGACACTTGGGTGAGGATTTCTAAGGCTTGAGGACAGGGAATGGGAGGATTTAGAGGCTCATCTCTCAAGCACCCCTGGGTCTGCACAACAGCTAGTCTGGAGGTGGAGGACCGTGCAACCCGGTAGCACCAGCACCATTGCACCATCCCTCACCCCCGCCATGCAGCCAGGTTGGATGGGGGAACTTATACATTCGTACATTGTAAGGCCGGACGAGACTTTGGACGATCATCAGGTCCAGGCCCCTGCACCAACGTGCATCAGTCTTGGATGAAATACTGATATCTGGGCACCCTTTATACCATGGCTTTAAGAAGAGGCTGGATGCCTACCTGGCTGGACTCATTTGAGTCCCGTTTCTTGTTTTGGGGTTTTGTTGTTCTCCCGCGCTGGCGGGGGGTCGGGCTAGAAGATCTACTAGGTCCCTTCCGACCCTAAATCTATGAAACTATGAATCTATGAAACTATATAAAGTGCCAACCTGCCCATAGCAGCCAAGTCTCGAGCACTCGAACTTTAGGGTTTCTTCCTCCCACCCCCAGCAGGATACGATGGTGGAGAGAGACCCCTTCATGGAAGCCGCCGGGCCGCAGCAGGTCCTCCTTCAGAGCCCCGTAACAGCGCTTTGGATCGAACGACGGCACGAAGACGTCTTGGGCTGGGAGGTGCCCTTGTCTCTTTTCGTTCCCGTTCCAGCTTTATGTACGGTGGGCCCCAATGCATCCTGCTCCCCCGCTGCTCCAGTCCTCCCCCAGCCCTGCAAGGAGAGCGGAGCACGCACGGGCCCCCATGCCTTGTACATAGCTCCCCTCGAGCAGCAGTCAGGAGGCAATGCCTGGCTGACACGGCTGCTCGCCTCGTGCCCCATCACTCTTTTCTCTGCAGAGCCCCTTGCTGCCTTACCTGATGCCAAGTGGAGCGCACAGGATCCAGCCAGCTCCCCTGCTGCAGCGGATCAGCTGAGCCAAGGGGTTTAATTTCGCAGACAGATCATGCGAGGGGATGATCTGGGAGTGACAATGTGGCAGGACAGCCGCTCTGGGTGGGCCAACGTGCCATGAGTACAGTGTGGCTCCAGGAACTGGGCTTGTAGCTCTGCCGTAGCTTTGGGCAAAGGGCGAGCTCTTAAACAGCTCTCTCCTGCCCGTCCCAATGGATGATAAACACAGAAGCTAAACCTCTTTAAGGGACTTTTCCCAAAGGAGATCCAGTCTCCTGGCCTGACGTCCTCTTCCGTCAATGGGGGCTCTTGCAGGCCGGAGGGTCTTGCAGCCTCTAAGCCGCACCACTAGCTAGATAACGGCCTAGATCCACTCCTGAGGCTCAACCCTCCAATGCATGCCCCAAAGCTAGGGGCCCTGGTCACACCGTTCAGCATGGGAACTAGCACGCAGGTGCCCATTGCAGGCACCTAAATACTGATCTGGGGCTCAGAGGAGGCTTGAGCTACAGCAAGTGACGGCCACTTTGTTCTCATATAAGATCTCCCCCATGGAAGTGTCACGTGCTTTCACTTCTGTGCATTGACTTCACGCCCTTGTGCCCACGCTCCTGCTGACAAGTCCTTCGGGTCTTCAGATAGTTTGAAAATCAGATCTCTGGCATCACGGAAAAATCTTGCTGGAAGGGACCTCAAGGAGGGGACATCTAGGCCGAGCCACGGCTCACGGCCAAGTGCTCGGATAACCTGCACCTAAAAATATCTGGGGTGGAGAGTCTACAAGCTCTCCAGGTGACCTGTGGCTGTGCTGAGCCACCTGCCTCAGTAGCGAGTGCTTTGCTGTTCCACTTTCAACCCATCTCTGTGAAACGCCAAAAGACCCCTTGAATAGCCAACCCACGCTCTGCATGTGCCTATGCCATTTAATACCGGACACAAGCTCTATAATTATTATTTGTGTTTTGCTAGTATCTGGACGCTTCGTTCAGGTCACGGCCCCCAGGTGTTAGGTGCTGTACACCATGCTCGAACCACTGCATCCAGATCCCAACCTGAATCTCAAATACTCTGCGATTCAGATACAGGATATAGGTTAAACGTGCACCAGCCCAAGCCAGGAGCCTGTCTGTGTTGTACACATCTGGACAGGATATTAGGGTGCAGGTTTTCAAGGCTGGGCTTATGTTTGGTTAGTACATGAGACTAGAGCTGGCCAACTTTGCAGGGCTTTTGCCAGTTCCCTCAACCGCTATGCGAGAAGGAAAAGTATATTTGGGCATCACTACACAGAGCTGATCCAGGTTGGAGACAACCAAAGGAAAGCAAACCCTGGAGGCCTGATTTTCCACTGCCCTGCACCCTTTGCACCAGAGAAAGGCCATGTAAAACGCTCTCAGGCTAGAGAGGTCACATTTTATATCCACGTGCCAAGGTCTGGGGCAATGGAAACTCAGGCTTCTACATCCACCTCCACAGATACGAAGTGCAGAGAGATCTCATTACAGGGAAAATGAATGAGGCCTTCAGGTTCCTCTGTAAGCATTACATTAATTACTATGGACTGGTATTACCACCCTGTGCTGCAAGTGAGAAGCTCCTCAGCTGACAGAAGCAATAGGGCTCTGAGCAGCTGCCCCCACTGGCCTTCCTCAGTCCCAAGGGAAGGAAGAGTTTGCAAATGAAGGAAGAATTTGCAAATGCGAGGAAAAAAAGTGACACAGAAAGTGAAGAACAGTCACTGCTCTTGCTTCTCCGCTGCTCTCTTTCCAAAAAGAAAAAAAATCAGAGTTGTGAACAAAAGGTGCACACATAATGTCTGAGAACTGAAGAGCATCTTTTTGAGTCTACGAGCCCTTCAGTGCTGCATATTGCGCTGTGTCCCACACCCTGTAGTTCAGCAGTGGATTTGTACTGAACCCTTGCATCCAGCTATCAAAAAAAAAAAAAAAAAAATGCTATTTAGGCTGCACGGTTCCTTTGAGGTTCCTTCAACTTGATCTTTGGTCCGTGCAATGCAAAGGACACAGCAGCAGGAGCAGCAGGAGGGGACCTGCTGTCTCTAGATCGAGACCTTCCAGAAAGAAGAGCCAAGAGAATCAGGGATTTTTGCAAAAGTGAAGTGACCAGCAACGTTCCCGAAACCCGTGCTCGTTCCAAAACCGCTCCTTTGCAGAGACCCCGAATTGCTCAGAGAAACTCTACCCTTGGACAGACTGAGGCATGTGATGGTTCAGGGCATTTGCCTTCTGCACGCAAACTGGAAGATGCTGCCACCAGCCGCTGAAGGAGCCACCCTGCTCGCTCAGGGGTAGAAGCGAGTGTTTTGAGGCCGATGTGCTATTTGATGGGGATTGCTATGCACACGGAGGTGATGGAGCCTAGGAAGCAAGCAAAACTGACTCATTTGCCAACCCAGCTTGAATTTTGGCACGGCATCATGATAAGCACATGGTTGCTGAATAAAAGCCCAAGTCAGGCTGAGCATGTGCATACCGCTGCAGTCAATAGGGAATGACCCTACCAGGTAGCGTCCTAAATAATTTCCTGAGTTTTATGCAAGGTACAGCAGGCCAAAGGCCTCAAAAAAGCGTAGACTCCTTAAAAGTCTCCGAATGCTACATCCAACACCAAATGTAGTAGGTAAAGCTCACATTTGGAGCAGCCTCCACCACAACAGAGCTTTAGGGCTGCAGCTGCCGTGCCAACTCTCATCGGGAAGCCGGGACTGGGCAAGCTTATAAAATCCTTTTTTTTTTTTAAAAGGACAAATTGAGGGAAATGAAAGAAACAACAATGAAAAGCGTGAACAAGCTACCCCGCTCCTTTCGATAACGGTCTCGACTCCTTACGGCGACGTCAATTCAATACGCCACCAACGGCAGCGGGGGGGAGCCCCGTTCAGCTCGTCTCGACAGCAGCCAAGCGACCCGGGGAGCACGTGAGAGCAGCTACTGTCCCCCATGCGAGAGCAGCAGGCCGGGCTTGGACGGACACTTCATCCACGGCAATGAAAACGGCACCAGAGCACTGCTGAGACGGGTTGGCACAGCTCTTCGTCACTGCAGAACAGCGCCCGCGTGACTGGCATAAACCCCTGCCCGCTCTGAGCTAGAGCTGCTCACTTTTACCGACAGCGCAAAGGTGGGTTTTTTCCCCCCACTCCGGTGAGCCAGGTGGAAACTACACAGCTCGTAGGGAAATCAACTGCAGGTAGAAAAGAGACGGTGCCTGCTCCCGCTCTGCACATCACCCACACGCGTGCCCGGTCCCCGCTGCACGAGCCCCAGGGCTGGTGAGTTTGTTCAGTGATGGGAAGGACCCAAAGCTGGGGGTTTAAGAGCCCAAATGGGGTTTGCATGACAGAAGGAAGCTGGCAGGTGCCCAATGGGGTTAGTTTGAACTGGATGCCACTAGAAGACTTAGGTGCCCAATAGACAGCAGGGCATCTCCCCGCTTAAAGCAGGCAACTAGCATTAGACGTGCAAATATTTCTCTTCCTTTTCTCCAAGCCACCTCAGCAAGACTTCACTTGGCAAGCTCTAGCCCACCTATGTGATGAGTGTATGTTGCCCAGGGGCTGGATCAGGATCTAGGACGCCCGAGTTCAATGCCAGGCTCCTCTGCTGATGGATATGCTACCCATAGCTCTATCTGGAGCCAGACAATAAAAGTTAGGTTATCCCAGATGGCAGCCCAGCCATGAACATTTTGGCTTTAGCCTTGCCGTGCCTCAGTTTCCCCAAGAGGCACTTGCCAGGGGTTATGGCAACAAAACTCGCCGGTATTACTGCAGCTTCTCCAAGCCGAAAGCTGCAACCCACTGTTCTCTGGACTGGCACCAATCTGCATCTCATCGGGGGGGCTTTAACAATTTGCATCTGCTGAGATCTGCCTTATTCAATCAGCTACATATACAGAGTCCATATTAAAGCATCTCACCCTGATGCAAGATGGGTTGGAAAGCAGCCATTTCACCGGGCTGGGAGGTTTTAGCTCAGCTTTGTGAGCAAGATCTGGCATGGGACCCCTCAAAGCCCAGGAGAGCAGGGAAGAGAGACCTGGATTAGCACTTGGTCCTTTTGAGACCTGGACTCAAATCCTTCATAGGAGACAGTGTGTTCAGTCAGTCCTCTCTCTGCATGCATCCCCCACCAGGAAACATGGCCCAGTTTACTCCCAGTATCACAAGACCAGCGTGGGGATGACATGGGGTGCTAGACCCCTTAACTGGGGTGTACGCTACAAGAGCGATGGGTGTGCACTCATTTTCACAGCATCTACCCAAGCTGTGCTCCCTTCGAGGGGCTCAGCCCCTTAAACCCCAGATCTTCAGTCTGGTTATTTATAGGCATCTTTATCATG